TTAAATATAAACGGCTCAGTTCAAATTATAGGGATCGGTTCAGTTCAATTTTTTTCCTATCACTCAAAGTTCGCACTAATTTTTAGTTTTTTTTAGAAAAATACAAATCTAAAAAAAATGAACAAATGGACATGATTTCTATATTGTTTTAATATTATAAAAATAGGACAAATTTTGGAGTTGTGGTTCGTGTGTCCAAATGGACATGATTTCTATTTTTGTTTTTTCAAAAGGAAAGAGGGTTTTTCTTCCAAAGGAAATTATAGGTTAAGTTAGATTACATTTATTAACATTTTAAGTTATGTAATAGTTAGATTTTAAGTTAGATTCTGATTTATTAACATTTTTGTTTTATATTATTGTCATCATTTGTATATGGAGATGGATTTGAATCACAAAAGAGCACTGAAATGATGGAGCAAGAGGTTGATGTTCAAGATGCAAATGTTGAGAGTGCTAATACAGCTGGATTAGTTGACACAAATTTGCCACCAAAGAAACCAATGAAATGATTATGGATTTGTGATCTTAATGTGTATTTTGGTGGAAGAAGTTGCTCTAAGAATGAGACATTTGTTGTATGTTGCATTTAATTATGTTTTCATATTGGATTGATGAAGTTAAATGTAACTTATTTTGATTTGAATTAGATCAAACAGATTTAATATGATTTGAATTGATATCATTTTGTGTGTACTCGGGTCGCGGGTCGGGTCGGGTCGTGTCGTGTAAAAACAGGTTGTGGTCAAATTCGGGTTGTATCATGTCAACCCGTTTAACCAACAGGTCGTGTTCAGGTTGAGTTTTATAACACGAATTGTTAATCGTGTCGTGTTCGGGTTGAGCCTATTCGTGTTCGTGTCAGACCCAGGTTGACCCGAACCCGACCCATGAACACGAATTGCCACCCCTAATATACAAGTGAATAAGTAAAAATTACATCAAAATCGTAACACATACTGCCTATCTTGACAGCCTACTAAATTCTTTCCAAATTGATCAACTCAACAAGCAGCTGAATAATGATATTTGGACTGAATTCTTGGAAATGTTAAAATTTGGTCATATGAAATTTTTGTGTCTATCTCTTTCTTCATTAATGATATTTGGACCTCACTTATTTAATGCATGTGAAGATAGAAATAGATATAAAAAATTTATATAACTAGATGATGTAAAATTTTAACATTAGAGGGTCTACTCTTATCTTGGTTGTTAGATAATGATATAAACCATTAAAAAGGTCTTCACCCAACACCTTAAGGTTTTGGTTTGAGATGGTTCTTTATATGGTATCAGAGCTTCAGTGACCATAAGGTCACGAGTTCGATCCAAACCAAAAAATAGATAAATTGGGTTTGTGCAATATCCACGCTTCAAGCCCAAAGGGCTCTTGCGTGAGGGAGTGTGTTAGTGAATGATATAAACTATTAAAAAGGCCTTCACCCAATATCTTAAGATTTTAAGTTGAAATGGTTTTACAGATATCATCTGACATTACTATAATAAAGATAACACACAATCTCTCTCTTATGATTTTTTTTAATTATTAACAAAATTGACTTCAATATCAGATCTTGGAGTTTGTTGCAATCAACTTTATCAACCAATAGCTCCTTACACGGTTACACCAATAAATCTTGTATGCTTTAATTTTAATACATGCCATACACAAAGTAATTTCAAAATACGTTTGGATGTTTTTGTTAAGAATGTAAAAATATAAGATTAATACATGCCATCCACTGTTGGAAATCGAAAATCACACAAAATCGAGAAAAGTGAAAAAAGAGATAAGAGTAGAGAGATTGACACGATGATTTACCCTGGTTCACCCAATTAAGGCTACGTCCGGCTTGTCTGTACTATATTCTCCTCACCGCCACTCGTTACAAGCCACTCGGTTTGCAAGAAAAATATAAATAGGATTAGAAAATCCTAACAACAGCTATTTATGGGCCCAAGCCCAAACTGCTAAGAAAATTACAATAACACAGAGGCCCACACTAGTGGGAATATGAGCGGGACCCCAGTTACCTTTCTGCTGACCCCGATAATTAGGGCCTTCATCAGCATGCGAAGTATGAGCCATACCCAACATTCTCCCACTTGGTGAATGCTTCGCATGTTTCTTCAATCCCAATGCAGCTGTACACCATTCAAACTTCTCTGAAGCCACTGCCTTGGTCAGAAAATCAGCATTACTGACCTTTGTGCCAACCTTCTCCAGCAATACAACCTTGTCTTCAATCTTCTCTCTGATGAAGTGGTATTGTATGCCGATATGCTTGGTCCTTGCATGGAAACCTGGGTTCTTAGCCAATAAAATGGCGCTCTGACTGTCACACCAACGATCATCTCTCCTTGTGCAAAGCCAAGCTCTTTGCACAACCTCCGTAACCAAATAGCTTCCTTAACAGCATGTGTCAAGGCCATGTACTCAGCCTCTGTAGTAGATAAAGCAATAGTGCTCTGCCTCTTACTCATCCAACTGAAAGCTCCGCCGAATGATGAAACAACATATCCACTTGTGGACCTTCTACTATCAATGTCACCTCCCCAATCAGCATCCACAAAGCATCTCAGTTCTAACAATGTCTGTCCCTTTGAGCCCTTCATGCCTTCATAGCATATCCCAAGATCAGACGTACCATGAAGATAGCGGAACACACGCTTCACAGCCGTCCAATGCTCCTTTCCTGGCTTGGACATATACCTGCTCAATACTCCCACTGCTTGAGCAATATCAGGTCGAGTACAAATCATGGCATACATCAGACTCCCAACCGCATTAGCATAAGGAACTGACGCCATCTCCTCTTTTTCTTCTTCAGTCTTGGGACACTGGTCAACCGATAACTTAGAACCAGTAGACATGGGAGTTAACACAGGCTTGCAGTTAGTCATCTTGAATTTCTTCAGAACATCTTCTATATACTTCTGCTGATTTAATCATAATCTTCCTTTGTCACGCTCCCTCTTAATCTGCATACCCAAGATCACATTTGCAGCGCCTAGATCTTTCATTTCAAACTGCTTTGCTAATAGTCCTTTAGCAGTGCTGATCATCTTTAAACTGTTTCCAACGAGTAACATGTCATCAACATACAAAGTTAGAATAACAAAGTCACCTTCTAACCTTTTCACATAAACACAGTGATCAGCATCACAGCGGTCAAAGGCAAGCTTCACCGCATAAGTGTCGAACTTCATGTACCACATCCTCGGGGACTGCTTCAGGCCATACAGAGATTTATTCAGCTTACAGACTAGCTCCTATTTTCCTCTTGCAATGAGCCCCTCTAGTTGCTTCATGAAAATAACCTCCTCCAAATCACCATGAAGGAAAGTTGTCTTCACATCCAGCTGCTCCACCTCTAGGTCATATGCAGCTGCTACAGACAAAACCAGTTTTATGGAATTTAACTTTGCAACAGGTGAAAATACCTCACCATAATCAACCCCTTCTGTCTGTGAATATCCCTTTGCAACCAATCGAGCCTTGTAACTCTCAATCTCCCCATTGGCACCAACTTTCTTCTTGAACACCCACTTGTAACCAATTGCTTTTCGGTCTGCAGGTAGATTCACCAAACTCCAAGTTAGATTTTTCATCAGAGATTTCATCTCTTCTTTCATAGCTTCCTCCCACTGTTTGGCATCCTCCGAGCTCCTAGCTTGGCTTACGGTGCTCGAATCATCACCTGTAATACTAAATGCACAAACATCATCACTAGCATACAGGATATAATTTTTAGGTGTATACATCTCAGATGGTCTTCTTTCCCTTGTGGATCTCCTCAGCACTGGTGCTTCAACCTCAGCCTCGGTTTCAGAAAATTCATCCTCTACCTCGTTATATTCAGCAGCTTCAAAATTCAAATTTTCCAATTCAACCTGTGAGTTTACTGTATCCTCTTTCAAACCCATATCTAACTTTACTGTCTGTGACTTTTCAGGAGCTTCAGGAAAAATTCGATTCAACTTACATTCCCTGAATACAACGTCTCTACTGTAAGTTACACTTCTAGTATCCGGATTCCACAACTTATAACCTTTGACGCCATCCTTATACCCAATAAAGATACACTTTTCAGATTTACTGTCAAGCTTGCTTCTTTTCTCCTTGGGTACGTGCATATATGCTTCACAGCCAAACACTCTGACATGAGATACGTTTGGCCTTTTTCCAAACAGTGCTTCATACGGAGTCTTCTCCTTCAAGGTCGATGTAGGAGATCTGTTCTTCAAATAACAAGCAGTAGCCACTGCCTCTGTCCAAAACTCAGTTGCCAAGCCTGCACCGCTCAACATAATCTGTCCTTTCTCCATGAGAGATCGATTCAACCTCTCTGCCAGTCCATTCTGTTGAGGTGAGTAGGGCGTAGTCTTCTGTCTTACAATCCCATTGCTCGCACAAAATTGGTCAAATTTTGTTGAATAGAATTCCCCTCCATTGTCAGTTATCAGCACCTTGATTTTTCGATCAAATTGATTTTCCACCAAAGCCTTGAACTCGCGGAATTTATCGAACACTTCATCCTTGCTGTGCAAGAAATATAACCACACATATCTTGAAAAATCATCAGTAAAAGAAACATAATACCTTGATTTTCCATGTGATGCTACAGGTGTGGGGCCAAACATGTCGCTGTGTATCAGGTCCAGAATCCCCTCAGTTCTTCCTCCTATAGAATCAAAAGATACCCGATTTTGCTTCCCTTGTAGGAAATGCTCGCAAAATCCAAACCCCATAGAGCATCTCGGAATTCCATCCACCAGCTTCTTTGATGTTAGAGTCTTCAGACCTTTTCCTCCAATATGCCCCAGCCTCCTATGCCATAACATAGCAGTGTCCTCCTCCGCCTGTTCTGAGCTTTCACCACTGAATACTGTGCTACCCAGAAGTTTCCACAATTTACCATGATGTTCTCCTCTTGCAATAACCAAAGCTCCTCGAGTCAGCTTGCAAGAATACTTGTCACTGCTAAAATTAATACCAGCATCTGCCATAGTACCAACGGAGATCAGATTTCTAGTAAGCCCCGGAATATACATCACACCCGGCAGATTCTTGACTGTCCCGTCACTCATCTTCAGCTTTACCTTCCCACGCCCCACAATTGCATGAGTCGTGTCATCTCCCATTCTAACTGTACCGCCAGAATATGATTCATAGGTGCAGAACCATTCCCTATGAGGTGTCATATGAAACGATGCTCCAGTGTCAATAATCCAGTCATTACAGTCACTATGACTGTCAAACGCCATGTACAGGTCCCCTGTACTATCATCATCATCCTTCTTTATACCCGAAGCAGAAGGTTGTGAATCATCCCGCTTCTCAGGACCTACGCTTTTACTTATGCAATTCCTTCTCAGATGTCCAACCTGTTTGCACCTCCAGCACCTCATTTCATATTTATCAGATTTATCACGGGACTTTGACCGTCCCCTCGATCTTCCTCTGTGACCAGACTTTGATCTGTCACCACTCCTCCCTCTAGCAACCAGAGCCTCATTGCTGGTACCTTCAGAACCTACCCTTCTCATCTCCTCAGACAATAAGGCAGCAACAACAGTCTCAAACGACAGTTTATTAACACCAGTACCAATTGACACAATGATGTGCTCCCAAGAGTTGGGCAGTGAACACAACAAGGTGCAAGCTTTGTCTTCCTCATCCAGGTTAATGTCTATAGACAAAAGTTGTGCACAAATAGTATTAAATTCATTTAAATGAGCAGAGAAAGAATCACCTTTGCTCATCCGCAGATTGTACAGCCTCCTTCGCAGGAACAACTTGTTCACGAGTGACTTGCTTTGCTAGAGACCTCCCAGCTTCGTCCAGAGATCCTTCGCGGTCTTCTCAGAAGTTACGTTCACCAGAACGTTATCTGTCAGGCATAACCAGATCAGGCTTCGCGCCTTTCGATCTTCTCTGGTCCACGCCTTCAACTCCTTCGACTCGCCTTCACCTGACGTTTCATCACCGACAGGTTTCGTTGGTACCGATGGCTTATCATCTTCGATCACGTGCCACACGTCCTTGTCAAAGAGCAGAGCCTCCATCTTCAGCTTTCATAACTCGAACCCTTTTCCTTCGAACTTTTCAACCTCGACCCGTGATTGGCCAGTCGACATCCTCTCCAGATTTAATTTCGCATTTTTCTCTACGCACAAAAAAACCCAAATCGCGAAACCCCAATCTGTCACAAGAACCTTGGTCGCAGAACCAAAGCTCTTGATACCAAATGTTGGAAATCGAAAATCACACAAAATCGAGAAAACAGAAAAAAGAGATAAGAGTAGAGAGATTGACACGATGATTTACCCTGGTTCACCCAATTAAGGCTACGTCCGGCTTGTCTGTACTATATTCTCCTCACCGCCACTCGTTACAAGCCACTCGGTTTACAAGAAAAATATAAATAGGATTAGAAAACCCTAACAACAGCTATTCATAGGCCCAAGCCCAAACTGCTAAGAAAATTATAATAACACAGAGGCCCACACTAGTGGGAAGTATGAGCAGGACCCAGTTGCCTTTCTGCTGACCCCGATAACTAGGGCCTTCATCAGCATGCGAAGTATGAGCCGTACCCGACATTCTTCGTTGAGGAAGTTCAAAAATATTTAGAGCACATTTGGATTTTTTTTCTTCTTCAAAAGTTGTTATTCTTTTTAAAGAAAATTTACCCACTTTATATATATTTTTCCTATCTTAAACTTGGAAACATTTTATTAAAAAGAGAAATATTACAAACAACTTTTATGATCAGATTAGTTATTTTTCTGAAAAGGGAACTCAATAGAAAATCACGAGCTGAGGTTGTGACAATGACAAATCGGGTTAGTTTGGTCTTTGCACCCCTCATCTTCTTCCTCTTTTCTTTGTTCCTCTATTATCATGGCTATTGGTTAAAATATACAATACAAAGAACGTAAGGCATTTGTGCCATTAACTTGCAACTTTCTTTGACGTGTGCCTTGTGTGTCTTATGATTTAATTAATTTCCACCACACAAACACATGTTCATATGTATGTCACTTTCATTATGCAGACAAAAGAGTCTTACCTCCCAAACAACCAACCTAACCCCTGGCCAGTTGTCTCCAACTTCCTCAACGCTTTCTCCTTCTTTTCTCTTTCACGTTTATTTGTACGTGTCGTTCTTTAAACTCATATCTTGAATAAATATCTTCCTATCTATGTAGAAATATAAGTAAATTCCTTTTAAAGATAAAGGGGAGTTTATATGAACAGAATTGTTCTGGGAAGCCCATGTAATCCAGGCCCAATACCGCAGGCCCAAGACCCTCGCCGGCGTCCACGTCAGCCCTACTGACCAACGGTACGCACCAACCTCCCTCACCTCCTGTCCCCCTGACAGTAATGTTCCCAAGATAAGACACCTAAGTGTCTTACCTGGGGATCAAGCCCTATCAGGAAGATCTCCCCATACCCCTAAATAGAAGATACCCTATTGCAGGGTCAAAGCAGCGACTGCCACCACACAGACAGGGGGTGGTATCGTTGTAACCGCCAGAGTATCAGTCACCCAACGCCTCCCAAGAAGAGTTGACCCTGCTTACCTACCCGCATGAGGTGAGCTCCTCCTCCCCCTCCTATAAGTACCCCTCCAGCACCAAGCGAAAGCATCTCATGTACCGTTACTATGACCATTTTCATAAGCCCCTCATATCCCTCATATCACCTGACACTCTTCCCCCCGACTTACTTACATAGTTAACACTTGAGATGTTGCTGGCTAGCTTGGTCTGTACCTATGCTAGCCACCTCACCCATATAGAGACATTATCCCCCTCCAGGGAACATGTTGGGCTTATATAACCCTACAGTACATTGGTGTCGTCTGTGGGGAACTATAAACTCCAATTCCCACTCTTCTACCTAAAGCGGACAGAAAATAAAACCCCAGAACCATATGGTTGTTACTACAAGAAGAACCCATCAACCTAGAGCAACCACTCCTGAAATTCAAGCACAAATAGTACACTCCAACTCCCCTCCGTCAGTGCAATCTGCCCCGGCACCCCGCGCAATTGCTATGACCCTCCCACCAGTCCTACAGCCTGTAGAAGCGTCTTTACCAGCTGGAGGTATCAATGAGGATCGTTCTAGGAATAACATGCAAAGAGAAGTCCCTAACCTATCCTAGGTGGTAAAAATAAACCATACATCTGCCGCACATGAGGCTCAGGGTGAAAGATCCATTCCATCCCCTACCTCCAGTCGTTCATTACGGTTTGCCCTTACCAGTTGCAACTGCCCAGCAGCCACCCCCTCCATCTACCCTCAGTTGCTTTAACCGCCACCTAATCAACCTATCATAGTTTACAATGATCAGGGAATCCCGATATCCACCCAGAGCCCACACCTATCAGGTCGACAACCCTCACCCCATAACCCCCTAGCCCTCAGAGTACCATTCCATGGTTTCACCGTACCGCCACAAAACGTAGTCGCCCAACCTCAAGGATCATACATGATTCTAGCCCCCCAACCACCCCCATATTTTGCGCCCTGTTGCGACTCGACAAGTTTTCTGAGAGGATTCTGAATCGCGTTGTTGTCAGCCATAGTTTCTTCCTCTGGTTCCGTCGAGTTTGATGCTTTTGCTTCTTTTACTTTTCTTTCTTTTGCGCTTTTTCTGAGTTTTCTAGCTGTCTTTTCTATCTCAGGATCAAACTGCAAGGATCGTGGGTTAACAGTACCTCGCATAAACTAAGAGTAAAAGATTATGCAGAAAATTAGAAAATGCAGAAAACAGAAAACAGGAAATTTAAACAAAAAATATAATGCAGAAAATGTAGAAAAAATTAAAAAATAAATAAAAAAATTAAAAATAAAATGTAAAAAAAATTAATACAAAATTTAAATTACAAAAATTTAAAACGTCCAATCTAAACAGTTTTTAGTTACTTCTAATGTTGAAGGATCCAATCCCCGGCAACGGCGCCAAAATTTTTTGAGACTCAGCAAATGCACCGGTCATTAAGTAATAAAAGTGTACCGGAGTCCGAGATCGTTCCCACGAGGATTGGGTTTCAAACACTAGTTCGCTAATCGCGGTTTAGTTGGACAATCAAGATTGAGATTAAGAGAATTGAAATTAAAGGGAAACAATTAATAACATGCAATTCTGAATTAAAAAGCAATCACGAAGATGAGTTGATTTAAAGATTAAAAACAAGCGTAGTTAGAGTTTCGACTTCCCTCAATCTCTTCTTTATGCTATGAATTAAACTGTCAAGAATTCGTTCTTATAATATTGCCAATCAATTCTTTCTAAGTTAATTAGGGCTCAATTCCTTGTTACCCTAAATCTATGTGATCTTGCAAGAACTCTAGTTCCCCGATTATTCCCCAAGAAAACATGCATTAAGATCAAGAATTTAAAGATTGCACAATTGCCCTATGTCTATCCCTAGATCACAAGGATTGTGATAAATTTACCATGTCAGGGTTCATGCACCAAAACCCCTATTGTCATACAATTCCCCTAAATGTATCTATCAGGAGCAAGCTCATAGAAAGCATTAAAGACAGATAAATTTATTCAATTATAAAAAGAAAAGAATTCAGAGACAATTTAATTCAAAGCATAAGATTCAATTGGGTTATATCTACCCTAACTACAGAAAACTTAGCCTATCATACTGAATTGAAAAGCAATAAGAAAGAAAAGAGAACCCCAAGCCTCCATTAGTGTGATGTTGACTTGGTTCCTCAGTGCTCCAATGCTCTGCAACAGGATTCCTCCTTCAGGCCTCTGCGTAATTCCTTGGTGTGTCTGTGAATTGGTGAATTCCATTGACCCCAAGCTCCCTATTTATAACCTTTGAAGCCATATCTTTTAATTCTTCATCAAATCTCCCCATGAATCTCTATCAATTTCTAATCAAATCTTAATTTGTTTCTGTTTTTATTTAAGATCTTGTAGATTGGGCTTCAAATCTTTGTTATGATTCTTTGATAACTTCTTAGCACCAAATCTTGTGGATTTACCTTCAAAATATGCAAGATATCAAAACATTAGCTCAATTTTCAAATCTTTATGATTTTATCATATAACACCTTGAATTCTATGCAATCTACCATATAATTCTTGTAGAATTTAGCATAAAAACATGGTAAACCAAGGGTTTATCACGCCCCACGCCCCAACACACTCTTATTCCGTTCACCATCAACCAGAAGCATAAGTACCTCCTCTCCCACCCCCGAATGCCCACATTCAGAACCTTAACGCTCAAATAATACCCACCAACCCCTCTGACCGTAATCGGCCCTTACTGGACCACCTTCGCCTCACTCCCATACATTTAGGTTTTAAAGGCTCAACAAACATTCCCACCTATGTTGGAGACACTGACCCCTTCGAGTGGGTCCAAAAGTTCGAAGCAGCAATGACTCTGCACGGTGAAACAGACCTCCTTATGCGCAGAACTTTCCCTACGCTACTTGGCGGACGAGCCTTGACCTAGTACACCAACCTGTCAACTGGAAGCATCTCTTCCTAGGATGACTTGGCAAACAAGTTCCAAACTCAGTTCGTAATGAGCCGCCCAGTGCCCAAATTTGTCCATTCTCTTGAAAGAATTCGCCAACAATCAGGTGAATCTCTCAGGTCCTTTTTAGACCAGTTTGATAAGGAATCCCTCCTAGTTCAAGGGTTAGACCCCAAAGTACAGGTGCATATCTTGATATCCGGACTGAGACAAGGTGCCTTCGCCTACGAGCTCGCCCGCCATGAGATCACAGATCTAGAGGAGGAAAAAAGGAAGGCCCAAGAGTTCATGAGGGTGAAAGAATACAAAGGCAGCAGAGCAGAGGACAACCAAAGCCGTGAAAGGAAGACCAGCAAATCCAAAGATCAAGGGAAAGACGAAAGGAAGGGGCATAAACCCTCCACAAGATACCCTGGTCGCCCTCTCAGGCGGGGCAACTCATCATGCCCTACACACAATGTCATGCAAACTGAGTACAAAAGCGAGAGGAGGACTAATGCCACTCGCCAAAAGACAGCCAGGGAGCCTGCCATATACTACAAGTTCCACCGTAGTAGCCATCACAGCACGGAAGAGTGCAGATCCCTCAGAGAAGAAATCGACGAACTAATCAAGGGAGGGGCGCCCCGAAGATACGTGAATTCCCCTCACGAAACCAATCCCCCTCGGCGGCACCAGGAGAGAAGCCGGTCACCAAAAGAAAGGACAGTTGGTAAAGCAGAATATCGTGCCCGTCGCGAACGCAATAGAAGAGAAGAAAGCTCAAGGACCCCCAGAGAGCGAGCTAGACCCGCAAATAGAGAGCAGCGTGAACCTGAAGACTCTGCCATAATTAAACATGGCATGATAAACATGATTTCTGGAGGTATGGGCGGGGGAGGTGAAACAACAAACGCCAGGAAAAGACACTTTAAACAGTGTATGGCGATATCCGACAGACCCGCAAGCAAAATCAAGGATCCGCTAGCCCCCCAAAACCAAAAATCATATGGGATAATAATGAGTTGGGCGATGTTATCCTTGGCCATGATGACCCACTTGTCATACAAGCAGTAATCGCTAATTTTGGTGTCAATCGAGTGTTCATTGATCACGGCAGCTCTGCGGACATACTCTTTTTACCCTGCCTCAAGGCATTAGGATACTCGGCCAATGAGTTAAGCCCGATCGTTGGAGAGCTGTCTGGTTTTAACGCCACGGTCACTAAGCCCCATGGTATGATAAACTTGCGGCTGTCTATGGGAGCGCCACCGGCTTCAAAGTCTGTGGACATTCAATTCTTTGTGCTCGATACACCTTCCGCTTATAACGCCATCTTGGGCCGAAGGATGTTCGCTGCCTTTGAAGCCAGCGTCTCCCATCCCCACCTAGCATTAAAGTTCGTAGCAAGAGACAATAAGGTCGCCACGATTAAAAGAGACCGGACTTTGGCTAGAAGTTGTTACAACATAACCCTCCGACCACCGCCGAAGGTTACCTTCAACGATCAAACCACCCCGAGCAGAATGCAACACAAGAAGTTTTTGAGGGCGCCAAAAATAAAAGGAAAGAGCATGAGCAATGTTTCCCAGTAGAATTTGACGCAAAAGATTACCCGAGGATGGAACATTCTAGACCTACCCCTGACGGAGCACTAGAGCACGTCATTCTGGGAGATAACAGCCAACAAACAACAATAGGGGCAGCCATTACTCCAGAACTGAAAGGTAAGCTTATTAAACTGCTAAAAGATAACAGGGACCTTTTTGCGTGGAAACCATCTTATATGCCAAGCATTGACCCTGAAGTCTGCTGCCACAAACTTTCCGTTTACCCTAAGGCGAAGCCCGTCGTCCAAAAGAAGAGAAAGTTCAGACCCGACCGCTAAAAGATCATCAGGGAAATCAACTACACAACATGGTTGGCTAACCCAGTCCTAGTAAAAAAAACCTAGCGGAGCATGGAGGATGTACGTAGACTACATAGATCTGAACAAGGCGTGCCCCTAAGATGCCTACCCTTTCCCAAGCATTGACCAACTTGTAGATAATGCTTCGGGATTCAAAATGATGTCCTTCATGGATGCATATTCCAAGTATAATCAAATTTCGTTACTAAAAGAATACGAAGAGAAAACAACGTTTATAACCCAGAGCGCCAACTATTGCTAGTGGCTATGTTATGAACTATGCCAGATGACTAGTCAAGACAAATATGTAGATTATCTGTGGGAAGAAATAATTAAGGAAGTAATAATGAATTATACATATATGTTCATTATACCACTATTACTATTATTATGCGGGTAGCGCCATATGGTTATACAAAATGCATTTTGCCGTTATATATGGATATGATGCGGACACCAAATGGACTAGGTTCATGCGTGATCCAGTGCATTTTCCCTGTGCACTGGGTGCACATTATATGATTTGATTATTATCTTTCTGCGGCTTATGTGCCTAGAGACTATTATTATCTCGGTGCGGATAATGTTCCCGGAGACTGTTGTTATCTCTGTGTGGATTATGTTCCCGGAGACGTTTGTTACCTCTGTGTAGATTACGTTTCCGGAGACTATTGTTATCTTTTATTAGGACTATAATCCTAGAAAGTATCTGGATTGATGTGATGGCTGATATAAGCAAGATGCCTTATGTTAATACACAACTGGGATTGTGCCATGTGAAGAACACTGGATGTGATGTCATGTACTTGTAAGTGAACATTAATATATCTAATTGTATATAAAATGTGGGTTTCATGAGAAGGTATTTTTTGAGGTGTTATTTTCGGAGCACTCTATAGTATGTGTTCACCTAGTGTGGTGATATGGATTTCTGCTTCACGTGAGGTTGTGAAGTTGGTTAGGATTCTCGCCTTATGTGAAAGGGATAGTAACCTATTTGGTGTTGATGGATTGAGCAAATGTCCTTCTAGGAAGGCTATTGATGTTTGATATTATGAGTTGAGGAAATGGCCTATTGGTCTCTAATAAAGGGTTAACTATGAATTGTATAATTAGTGCAAGGACTGATGTACAGTTAAATTGTAAATTGTAGCATCAATGCAAGGACGATTATGTTTGGTAATTCCCTGTGATATGGAACTTATATGTGAGAAATACGATATAGTATATGTGAGATGAACATCAATGATTAAATGTAATGATTGTGAAATTGAGGTATAAAAGAATGAAAGATATGTGGAATTGTGTAAATCTGTAAGGTTAGATTATATTTTGAGTTACGGAAGAGGTGCGATCCTAAATTGGTACTGCGATCCTAAATTATGAAAGTGAGAATGTTACTTAGGGAACAATGTATGAAAGTGAATCCATAGACAGATGAGCGTGTTACTTAGGGAACAATTGGTACTGCGATCCTAAATTATTATTTATATCGTATGAGAATGTAAGTATGAGACTTGAAAGCATTATGACCGGAGTAAGAGTTTAGAGGAATTGAGGATAGACCGTGGATGGTCAAAACCATGTAATATACATCATAATGGTATAAGACATTAGTATGCCAGTGGTGGAAACATATATTAACTTGATTAACTACAGATACTTATTTTGTATTAATTGCAGAAATGAAATTGCGCGTTCTTGGATTAAGAACATAGGTAGAAGTATGTGTATCTATAACCTGTGGCTATAGGCCGTCAATGGAGATTATTCCCTCTGAGAGTGATTTTACCGTGAGCGTAAACTATGTAATTACCTAGGAGACATTGCACCAAGGAAATGGTTAGATACCGGAACAGTATTTAATATGAACTAAGATATTTAGAAACTTTGGTTGTATATCAAAGTAAGGCTATGTGATAAATGGTACTAAAAAGAGTTTAATAGCAGAAGTGCCAGAGTTATCAGGAATAAAAATTAAATCGAGGATAAATGTTGACTGAAATGTGTCAGAATATGTTATGTGCCTAAATAGTAAGGATTGAATGTTAGAAGAATGATGGATTGAAGTGCCTTAGAGTTAGGCCGGATATGATCCCATGTGGATCTTTGATGATAAACCAACTAGGTTAACACATCTTTTAAAAATAAATTATAGGCTCTGTAGGTAAGATAACTCGACTAGTGAGGATGAACTGGTCAATCAGAGTAAACTCTCAGCTACGAAGATATGTTCCAGAGGAGTCACATGTGGTGCAACTGAATGATGTGGAATGAAAGACAATTTGAAGACTCATGTTGGTCCTATGGACATTCTGGATCATAGTGTAAAAGAAGCTCAGAAGTAAGATTACTCCCATGGTAAGGGTGCAACGGGAAGGATGCACGCTTGAGGAAGCTACTTAGGAGCGGAAGGATGAGATTCCCTAGTTGTATCCTGAGTTAGCGGACGAGTATGGTTTTAATTTTGCAGATAAAATTGCAAAAAGATGGGGTGAATATAACACCTCTCATATTTGAAATACAAGATTAAAGGTTTAATTGCGGGTTAGAGGGTTTAATTAGTGAGAATCCTGAGTTTAAGGTCAAAATACACACAGAGTAAAATGATAATTTGACAAATACATAACCTTAACCTGTAAAATGGTAGAATTAGACATTATTTGATGAAAATGATAATGGATTTGGATTCAGAACGAAATTTGGAGTGGATAGACAAGTTTTTGGAAAATTGATGAATAATGATTTTTACTGGATAAAATATTGCAGTATAATTTTATCGGGAAACTCAGAATTGAGATTTATGCTCTAGGATTGAATATATGTTAAAAGAGGTATTTAGAATTAAGAAAAATGATTATGGGAAATTTTTGATGACTTTTGAAAAAATGTGCCGATAGTGTATAACTAGGGGTAAAATCGTAATTTCATCAAATTATCGAAAAATTTTAGATTCATCTATTAAAGTAATTTTAATGGACATTAGTGAATGTTGAAATTTTGATTTGGTGACTAATTCTTGGATTAGTGGGAGTTTAAATGTGTGAGGATGTGGATTCATTAAGGGCATTTTGGTCATTTCCATGTCTATGTGTACAAAATCACTTAAACACTCTTCCATTGCATTTTCACTCTCCAACCAGTGACCCTCCTTCTTGAGTGCTGACCATGGAACACCATTGAAGGTGCAAAGAGAGCTTGAAAACCTATCTCATTTATTTCTCAACCAAAATTCAATTGGTTGGAAGCAAAGTTGCTTAGAAACTCATGGAGAAAAAACCTATAAGCTAGAATCCCTTGAAAGCTTGTGTGTGGAAAGAAAAATGTTTGTGAAAGTGGCACCCCAAATCTGAATTTTGAAGAAGGTTAATGCATTGGTTCAATGGAAGCTTGAAAATTAATCCTTAGGTGATTCTATCCACATTCATGGTAAGACTTCTTGATTTCCATTGAGTTTTCTTATAGATCGAAAATCTTTGTTGTTCTTGACTATGGTCATGTGTGGGGGTTGTTTGGAGAGGTTGGATGGCCTTCTTCTTTGGAGTTTTGTGTTTACAATGACAAATAAATGGTGAAAAGCCAATAAAAGGCATTGTTTATGACACTTGGACAAAAATTCATGATGAAAAAGTAGTGAAATTATGAAGAATTTGATGATGTAATGAGATGTTTAGATGTGGAGTTTAACATAGGTTTGGATGGATTAATGGTGTATGAGGTTAGATGATGATTTTAATGGATGAAATGTCTTGAGAAGTTATTTGGGCCATCTTAATTATTTTCGAAAATCTGTCATGTGTTAAGTCTGCTTGGTAGTTTAAAAAATTTATTTCTGAAGTTGTAGACCTCCAAATGGGGCAAACGATATATCAATTTGAATCCCTAGATGTCTACTTTCTACCATAAACTATTTGTATTTTGGCCAAGTTTTTGATTTTATATGGATTTCCTACCAAAGACTATTTTTCTAAATTTTTAGGCAAACAATTTCGAAAATTGATGACCATGCTGGTGGGTTGTGAATTAGATGGAGGGAATGTCCCATTGCTGAGTATATCTCGTACTTAGTGATGAAAAATAAAGTGGAAATTATTATTAATTGTAATTATGCGTATTTGGGATGTTGAGGACCTAAATTTGATGATAGAAAATAACGAAATTCAGCAATGGTATAGTTTATAGGGTGATGGCCGAAAATAGGGGCATGAATGAGTATTGAGTTCATGTAATTTTAAGACCTTGATTAGTTGTTTGATGTTGACTAATTAGATTGTGTGATGATGTAGCTTAAAGTCAAGTGACTACTTGATATTGAATCAAGCTTTGGGGGAAGTTTGAACACTTTACTTGGTGTAAAATTAGGTAAGTCATTGGACTTAAATTTCTATATGTTTGCAATTTTGAATAATCATTGAGTTGATTGCAAATGATAATTGGAAAAATTACCTTGTATAGGTGACTTGGTATAAATTGTGTTGTGGATTGCTTGCTTGGCAATGAGGAGTTTGCAAAGAGGTAAACCCTTTGTCCTTAGATTAATCCACGTGTGTGCTCGATCACGCCCATTGGGGTAGTAATTGGAATTTATGAACTGTAATAGTATATGATATAATATGTTCATGCATTTTGACATGTTGTTTGGTATATGTGTGATATACATGTATCTCTGGGCATTAGAAAGATATT